TTTGTCGAAGGCCTTCTCTGCATCTATTGAGATAATTATGTGGTTTTTTTCTTTGGTTCATTTTATGTGATGAATTACGTTTATAGACTTGTGTATGTTGAACCAGACTTGCACCCATGGGATGAAGTCTACTTGATTGTGATGGATAAGCTTTTTGATGTGCTTATGCAATCAGTTTGCCAGTATTTTATTGAAGATTTTTGCATCTATGTTCATTATGGATATTGGCCTGAAGTTTTCTTTTCTTGTTGAGTCTCTGCCGGGTTTTGGTATCAGGATGTTGTCAGTCATAAAATGATTTGGGAAGGATTCCCTCTTTTTGTATTGTTTGGAATAGTTTCAGAAGGAATTGTACCAGGTCCTCTTTTTATATCTGGCAGAATTCGGCTGTGAACCCACCTGGATCTGGGCTTTTTTTGTTTGGTAGGCTATTAATTGCTGCCTCAACCTCAGCCCTTGTTACTGGTCTATTCAGAGTTTCAAATTCCTGGTTTAGGCTTGGGTGGATGCAAGTGTCCAGAAATTTATCAATTTCTTCCAGGTTTACTGGTTTATGTGCATAGAGTTGTTTGTAGTAATCTCATATGTTAGTTTGTATTTCTCTGGAAATGGTGGTCATATCCCCTTTATCATTTTTATTGCATTTATTTGATTATTCTCTTTTGTTTTTTATTAATGTGGCTAGTGGTCTGTCTATTTTGTTGATCTTTTCAAAAAAAACCCACCTCCTGGATTTATGAATTTTTCGAAGGGTTTTTTGTGTGTGTGTCTCTATGTCCTTCAGTGCTGCTCTGATCTTAGTTATTTCTTGTCTTCTAGCTTTTGGATTTTTTTGATCTTGCTCCTCTAGCTCTTTCACTTTTGATGGTAGGGTGTCAATTTTAGATCTTTCCTTGCTTCTCATGTGGGCATTTATTGCTGTAAATTTTCCTCTAGACACTGCTTTAAATGTGTCCCACAGATTCTGATACATTGTGTCTTCATTCTCATTGGTTTCTAAGAACATCTTTATTTCTGCCTTCATTTCATTGTTTATCCAGTCAACATTCAAGAGCCAGTTGTTCAGTTTCCATGAAGTGGTATGGTTCTGAGTTGGTTTCTTAATCTTGAGTTCTAATTTGATTGTACTGTGGTCTGAGAGTCTGTTTGTTATGACTTCCATTCTTTTGCATTTGCTACGGAGTGATTTACTTCCAATTATATGGTCAAGTTTAGAGTAGGTGTGATGTGGTGCTGAGAAGAATATATATTCTGTGGATTTGGGGTGGAGAATTCTGTAGCTGTCTATTAAATTTTTTTGGTCCAGATCTGAGTTCAAGTCCTGAATATCCTTATTAATTTTCTGTCTCATTGATCTGTCTAATATTGACAGTGGAGTGTTAAAGTCTCCCACTATTATCATGTGGGAGTCTAAGTCTATTTGTAGGTTGTTAAGAACTGGCTTTGTGTATTTGGGTGCTCCTGTATTGGGTGTATACACATTTAGGATCTTTAACTCTTCTTGTTGCATTGATCCTTTTGCCATTATATAATGCCCTTCTTTGTCTCTTTTAATCTTTGTTGATTTAAAGTCTATTTAACTATGTATCAGAGACTAGGATTGCAACCCCTGCTTTTATTTGTCTTCCATTTGCTTGGTAAATCTTCCTCCATCCCTTTATTTTGAGCCTATGTGTATCCTTGCATGTGAGATGGGTTTCCTGGATACAGCACACCAATGGGTTTTGACTTTGTATTCAATTTGCCAGTCTGTGTCTTTTGATCGGGTCATGTAGCCCATTTACATTTAAGGTTAATATTGTTATGTGTGAATTTGATCCTACCTTTTTGATGCTAGCTGGTTGTTTTGCCCATTAGTTGATGTTGTTTCTTCACTGTGTCAATGCTCTTTACCATTTCGTACATTTTTGGAGTGGCTAGTACTTGTTGTTCCTGTCTATGTTTAGTGCTTCTTTCGGGAGCTCTTGTAAGGCAGGACTGGTGGTGGCAAAATCTCTCAGCAATTGGCTTGTTTGTGAAGGATTTTATTTATCCTTCACTTATAAAGCGTAGTTTGGCTGGATATGAAATTCTAGGCTGAAAGTTATTTTTTTTAAGTTTGTTAAATATTGGCCCCCACTCTCTTCTGGCTTGTAGAGTTTCTGTGGAGAGATCTGCTGTCAGTCTGATGGGCTTCCCTTTGTCAATAACCCAACCTTTCTCTCTGGCTGCCCTTAGCATTTTTTCCTGAATTTCAACACTGGTGAATCTGATGAATGTGCCTTGGGGCTGCTCTTTTTGAGGAATATCTTTGTGGTGTTCTCTGTATTTCCTGGACTTGAATATTGGCCTGCCTTGCTAGGTTGGGGAAGTCCTCCTGGATAATATTCTGAAGAGTGTTTTCCAGCTTGGATTCATTCTCTCTGTCATATTCAGGTACACCTATCAAACATAGATTCGGTCTTTTCACATAATCCCTTATTTCTTGGAAGTTTTTTAAATTTCTTTTTACTCTTTTTCCTCTAATCTTGCCTTCTCATTTTATTTTGTTGAGTTGATCTTCAATCTCTGATATCCTTTCTTCTGCTTTATCGATTTAGCTATTGAAACTTGTGTATGCTTCGTGAAGTTCTCATGTTGTAATTTTCAGCTCCATCAATTCATTTATATTCTTTTCTAAGTTGTTTATTCTTGTTAGCGTTTAATCAAACCTTTTTTCAAGGTTCTTAGTTTCTTTGCATTGGGTTAGAACATGCTCTTTTAGCTCATAGAAGTTTGTTATTACCCACTTTCTGAAGCCTGTTTCTATCAATTCATCAGACTCATTCTCCATCCAGCATTGTTCCCTTGCTGGTGAGGAGTTGTGATCACTTGGAGGAGGAGAGGAGTTCTGGCTTTGGGTGTTTTCATCCTTTTTGCACTGGTTTCTTCCCATCTTAGTGGTTTTATCTATCTGTGGTCTTTGTAGTTGGTGATTTTTGGATGGGGTCTCTGAGTGGACATCCTTTTTGTTGATGTTGAAGCTATTTCTTTCTGTTTCTTAGTTTTCCTGCTAACAGGCCCCTCTGCTGCAGGACCACTGGAGGTCCTCTCTAGACCCCGCTCGCCTGGGTATCACCCACAAGGGCTGCAGAACAACAAGGGTTGCCGCTGGTTTCTTCCTCTGCTATCCTTGTCCCAGAAGAGTATCCGCTAGATGTTGTCCTGAGTTCTCTTTTATGAGGTGTCTCTTTGGATATATGTGGTCGGGGAGCTCCTAGAAGAGACAGTCTGTCTCTTATAGGAGGTCAAGTGCTGAACTGTGAGCTTCGTTGTTCCATTCAGAGCTGCTGAGTGGGTATGTTTAAGTCTGCTGCAGCAGAACTCATAACAGCACTTTTCTCCCAGGTGCTCTGTCCTGGGAAGGTGGGGCTTTATTTATAAGTTCCTGATGTGCTGCTGCCTTTATTCAGAGATGCTCTGCCCAGCGAGGAGATACCCTAGTCACAATCTGTCATCAGAGGCATTGCTGAGCTGCTGTGGGCTCTGCCCAGCTGCTGTGTGAACTTCCTTGCGGTTTTGTTTATAGAGGTAAGTTAGAACTGCCTCGGTAATGATGGTCTCAGTAATTGTGTCTCTGTTTATATATTATATAAAATATACCATATATAAAAAACATACTCATATGTTTTATTATATCCATACTTACATACTCATATGTTTTATTATATCCATACTTACCTTAGTAAGTATGTCCACTCACTGTGGACAACAGTGAGTATATGCGGAATGGGGACTTCTTACCCACCCAGCTGCAGGCCCAGCAGGATGCTGTCAACATAGTTTGTCATTCAAAGACCCGCAGCAACCTGGAGAACAGCGTGGGCCTTATCACACTGGCTAATGACTGTGAAGTGCTGACCACGCTCACCCCAGACGCTGGCCGTCTGTCCAAGCTACACACCGTCCAGCCCAAGGGCAGGATCACCTTCTGCACTGGCATCCGCGTGGCCCATCTGGCTCTGAAGCACCATCAGGGAAAGAATCACAAGATGTGCATCACTGCCTTTGTGGGAAACCTGGTGGAGGACAATGAGAAGGATATGGTGAAACTGGCTAAACGTCTCAAGAAGGAGAAAGTAAATGTTGACATTATCAATTTTGGGGAAGAGGAGGTGAACACAGAAAAGCTGACAGCCTTTGTAAACACGTTGAATGGCAAAGATGGAACTGGTTCTCATCTGGTGACAGTACCGCCTGGGCCCAGCTTGGCTGATGCTCTCATCAGTTCTCCGATTTTGGCTGGTGAAGGTGGTGGCGTGCTGGGTCTTGGTGCCAGTGACTTTGAATTTGGAGTAGATCCCAGTGCGGATCCTGAGCTGGCCTTGGCCTTTCGTGTATCTATGGAAGAGCAGTGGCAGCGGCAGGAGGAGGAGGCCCGGTGGGCAGCTGCAGCTTCTGCTGCTGAGGCCGGGATTGCTACGACTGGGACTGAAGACTCAGATGATGCCCTGCTGAAGATGACCATCAGCCAGCAAGAGTTTGGCCACACTGGGCTTCCTGACCTAAGCAGTATGACTGAGGAAGAGCAGATTGCTATGCCATGCAGATGTCTCTGCAGGGAGCAGAGTTTGGCCAGGCAGAATCAGCAGACATTGATGCCAGCTCAGCCATGGACACATCTGAGCCAGCCAAGGAGGAGGATGATTACGATGTGATGCAGGACCCCTAGTTCCTTCAGAGTGTTCTGGAAAACCTCCCAGGTGTGGATCCCAACAGTGAAGCTATTCGAAATGCTATGGGCTCCCTGGCCTCCCAGGCCACCAAGGACGGCAAGCAGGACAAGAAGGAGGAAGACAAGAAGTGAGACTGAAGGCAAAGGGCAGCTGGGCCTGCTCAGGGGACTGCATGAGAGGCGCGGAACGCAAGGTTATCTGAGTATTACCTGTAACCATTACAGCCTAAATAAAGCTTGGCAAGTTTTTTTCCTTTTTTGCTTAAAAAATAAATAAATAATTTATTCTGTCAAGAAATAAAAAAATTGGCTTTGTGTATGGTTCAACTGTAAATCTTATGTTTACAAAATACTGTAATTTTCAGGAAATCGCTGTATCAGGAATGTGCAATGACTTATATAAATAAAAGCCATTTTTAAAACTGAAAAAAAAAAGTTTGTTTTTTGTTTTTTGTTTTTAATAGAGGTGGGGTTTCACCATGATGGCCAGGTTGGTCTCAAACTCCTGAAGTCAGGTGATCCGACCACCTCAACCTCCCAAAGTGCTTGAATTACAGGCGGAAGCCACCGCACCCGGCCAGAAGGTTAACTTGTCAATGGAGGTAGGAAAAAGTGCTTTGGATCAAATGCTCATAGATAGACCAGACACCTTTTTGGTGCTGTGGAATCAGATTTATAGGCAATTTACAACATGAAGCTCTTCAGGGGCTTGTCAGGTGTTACTGGAACTTCAAACTTTACTCAGGTGTAACAGGATAGGCAAGGCCCTTAAAGGTAAAAAGGAGATAATTTCAATAACTTAGTGCAAGCATCTGGCTTGCAAGCTCCTTGAGACAAGTTATCAGAGAAGGCCTCCGTGAATTGTGACAGGCTAGGCCCTGCATTTCCAAAGATCAGAATAAGTGGTACAGAGAACAAGCGCCTGATATAAAACAGGCATTAGCTGTGGCTGAAGTCAGGGAGAGGTGGGTCAGGTTGTGAACTGAGGGGTATCTAAACCTCTAACGTGGACAGTGTTTTCTACTTGCCATGACTCCACCAAGTTCCTAAAAAGCCTCCAAACTCAACTTCCAGGCAGCTTCCAACCTGAGGCTAAGTGGACACACCCCCTAGAGAGATTTTAACCCCATTTTAGGTCTCCAAGAAGAGTCCCATTTATTAGCAAAATTATTCTGACGAATAGTTTAACACAAAAATACCAACTAGCCCTCCAAGGATCGTTGGGAGTCTACGCTTCCCATCGCCTCAGTGTCTGGTGCATGAGGAAGGTGTCCTCTGAAGGGCGGGGCCGGAGTTGAAGCCGGAGAGGGGGCAGACCGTCCAGGGTCAGGTGTGGAGATTCATAAAATAGTGTTTCTGGGTCACACAAGATGGTCATGTCTGGCCCTAGCCCAGATGGCTCCTTTGGGGGGCAGGGCTCGAGCCTGCGGCGGCAGGAGAGCCAATTTCTCCCTGAGCGCGGCGTTCAGAACCTGTTCCTCCAGCACCTGCAGGCTCACCAGGTCTCAGATGAGCCTCTTGGAGCGCGGCACGTTCAGCCCCTCGGACACGCTCTCCTCCAGGCCGTAGCGGATCTGGAACGACTTTCTCAGCTGTTCTTCCACGGCTTTCGCGGCATCAAAGTGGCTCCCGGCTGCGGCTCTCAGCTCCAGGCCCAAGGCCAGGCTGCTCTGAAGCGCGGGCATCTCCAGCTCCTGCGGCGCCGCGGGCTGCGGCTCGGACCGCACCAGGGAAGGTGGTGCCAGGCGGAACGGACCTGCCGCCGCCGCCCGCCCCTTCCGCCGCCCACGGCTGACATGCCGCGGCTCGGGGTTGTCAAGCCGCGGACTCAGGCTCGTCAAGCCGCGGACTCAGGCTCAAGTCCAGGCCAGGCTCGGGCACTGGGGCTCGGGGTTCCGGGACTCGGGGCTCCGGGAGTGGCCCTGGGACCGCCGCGGCTTCTTCCCCGTCCACCGACTCCAACTCTGAGTCCCCACAGCCCATCATCTTTGGAGGTGCCTTGGGGATGCGGTGACTGTATCCAGTTAGGTATATATATTTATATTTATATATATAATCATATATATAACATACGGTTATTATATCCATAAAAGGATATATGACATATATATATTTTTTAAACTTTTTTTAGCCACAGACCTTTTCTTCAAAGGAAACCTTAAATGGAGATGTAACATGCCAGCTACTTAAAGACACAAGAATCTGCGAGAGTGAGCGTGGGAGAGGGAGGGGACTGGAGTCCCATCAGCTGGGCCCTTTGCTGCTTCTGCCCAGCTCTCCCTGCTAGAGCATGGGCACTGCAGGGAACCTGCCCAACCGCTGAGGGCTGAGCCGGGGCCTGTCAAGCCCTCAACATCCTCAACAGAGAATGTGTATGGAGTCAGCAAGAAGCCATGGGGAGGGGCAGCCCAGGGCCAGCTGCCCTCACATGTTCTCCAGGGAGGGGCCCTCAGAGCTTCTCAGCAAGGACAGCAGGTTCAGAGCCGAGACACCAGGCACGTGGCCGTCGCACATCTGCAGCATGCACACCAGGTGCTGTGCCATGGTGGCCCGAAAGCCTTCCACCTCCAGGTCACAGTAGAGCAGGGGGCTTTGGTAGGTGTGGACCAGCTTCACCACTGTGTGCTGGTGAATGCTGCAGTGGCTCTCCTGTCCAACGCCTGTGGCGAAGAAATACACCTTCCCCAAGAAGAAGCTGGCATCCACATGGTGCAGGGACTCCTCTGTGTTCTGGAGGCTGTATTTGATGTGAAGATTAACCACAGACACGATCAGGTCAATTCGGGGCCGATTCACACTGGAGGGCAAAGGGACGGACTTTGCCAAGTGGACCTTCAGCTCGGAGGCGCAGTCCTCCTTGAGCATCGAGTCCACCAGCTGCTGCAGAAGAGCATCCTCCGTGCCCACCAGCATAATGGTGGCTGTGTTCAGGCTGGGCAGCTTATCCAGTGGCCTCAACAGTGACATCTCAGCAGTAAAGCCGATCTTTTTTTTTTCTTTTTTTTTTTTTAATTGCATTTTAGGTTTTGGGGTACATGTGAAGAACATGCAAGATAGTTGCATAGGTACTGCACACGGTTGTGTGATTTGCTGCCTTCCTTCCCTTCACCTATATCTGGCATTTCTCCCCATGCTCTCTCTCCCCAACTCCCCACCCCTTACTGTCCCTCCCCTATTTCCCCCCAACAGACCCCAGTGTGTAGTGCTCCCCTCCCTGTGTCCATGTGTTCTCATTGTTCAACACCCGCCTATGAGTGTAGACGCCTTGGAACCCACGGGCGGCGACTGCGATCACAGGTGCCTCACAGGGCCCTGTGTCCTACCTCTGGGCGTCAAAACCCCAGCTGGGAACTGACGCTTCCGAGCTGCTTCCAACCCTGGACACCGAGGTCCCCCAGCTGGAGAGCGAAACCCTAGGGTCTTCTGAAGAGGGGGGCCACGAGCCCCCAGGGCCAGACAGCGAAGCCCCAGAGCCTGTTGCAGAGCTGAACACTGAAGTCCCAGGCCGGGCGGCGAGGTCCCCAAGCCCTCCGCAAAGGACGTGGAGACCCTCGAGCAAGAAAGCGAAGTCCTCGAGCCATCAGTCGAGCAGGACTCAGGGCGCCCGGGGTTGTCCGCAGCGGTTGGCTTTGAGAGTCCTGAGCCAGGCAGAGACGACCCTGGGCCGTCCGAAGCGCAAAGCGCTGGGATCCAGGGGCAGCGTCCCGCTACGGGCCTGAGACTTCCTCCTCCAGGTCAGGCTCGGAAGCCTCCGACTTGCGTTTCCGCCGTGCCCTGAGGCTCCCCAACGTCCCCCGGAGGAGCTGTTCATGGAGACGCCCATAGAGCGCGAAGTCCGCCGCAGCTGCGAACGCGAGGAGAGCCTGCGCGGGAGCCGGGGCCTGAGTTCTGGCCGCGCGGGCAGCGAACTCATGGAGCTGCGCGTGCGGCCAGTGCTCAACCTGCCGGGTCCTGGCCCCGCGCTCCCGCGCACCCTGGAGCGCACGCAGGCGGGCGCGCGCGCAGATGCAACGGGACATCGAGCGGGAGGCCCACCGGCAGGCGGCGCTAGCGCGCCCCGCGGCCGCGGAGCCGCGCGCCTAGTCGTCGCTGCAGCCGCTGGGCGAACGCAAGCGATTCTTCGAGGCCGCAGCTGGCAGTGGCTCTTCGGCGGGGGCGGGGGGCGGCGCGGGCCCGCAGGGGCTGCCAGAGCCCGGGGGCTGGCGCGCTCGGCCGTGCAGGGCCGGTGCCCAGTGCTGGCCCGCGCCCCGCCGCCTTTCGCTCAGTCACTGCTGGAGCACAAGGTGCGCGCGGTGCGCGAGCGCGAGCAGGAGCTGCAGCGCCAGCGGCGCCCTGTCTTTGGTACCGTAGAGTTCAAGGAGCCTACGCCGTGTCTCATCGCGAGCAGGGGCGACTGAAAGTTGGCGGTGATCTGGCCCCCTCGCAGAAAGGCCTCGGAGAACGGCCTGGAGCAGGAGGAGCGCAAACCTTGAGGTTCGAGCAGGCTGGGACCCCCCGGCCGGAAGTAACGTATGCGTCAGAGGACCAGGGCCGCGAGCATCTAGCAGAAGGCCTGGAGAAGGGTCTGCCCTCTGCATTGGGGAAGATGAAGTCGACCACCCCATCGTTGAACTTGACTTTGTGAAATTGACCAGCCCCGTCTATAAAACTGAGAGTCCCCCATTGGGAAACTGACCACCACCCACAACTCGGCCAGTGAAACTGTCTAGCCCTTCTCCGCCTAGTTGTAAACTGAACTACCCACTCCCTTGACTGTAAGAGGGCCGGGGTTACGGCCGCGGCTGCCCCACTCCCCGCACCGCCAATAAAGCCTCTTCTTTCAGAAAAAAAAAAAAAAAAAAGTATTTTTTTATTTTATATATGTAGAATAATAAAGTAATATATAAGTATTATGCACTCCCATGCTAAATACTTCTACTTAGTGGTAAACCCTTTTACCTTCTGCATAATGAATTAACTAGAAATAACTTTATATAGAGAACTTCAACAATGCCCCCCAAAACCAAGCGAGCTACCCAAGGATAGCTAAAAGAGCACACCCGTCTATGTGGCAAAATAGTGGGAAAATCTATGGGTAGTGGCGACAAACCTACCGAGCCTGGTGATAGCTGGTTGTCCAAGACAGAATCTTAGTTCAACCTTAAATTTACTTACAGAATCTTTAATCTTCCTGTAAATTTAATTGTTAGTCTAAAGAGGGACAGCTCTTTAGACCCTAGGATAACCTTTATATAGAGAGTAAAATATTCCACTACTATAGTTGGCCTAAAAGCAGCCATCAATTAAGAAAGCGTTTAAGCTGAATATTTATTTATTCTTAATTCTACTCATTCCACTGAACTCCTAAAACACATTGGACTAATCTATTACTTAATAGAAGCAATAATGTTAGTATAAGTAACATGAAATTATTCTCCCCGAATAAGCTTATGTCAGACTGAAACAACTACTGTTAGTTAACAGCCCAATGATTATACACTACAACTTAATTTACCCATTAACTAAACTGTTAACCCAACACAGGTATGCATCCAGGAAAGATTAAAAAAAAGTAAAAGGAACTGGGCAAGCTTTACCACCTTCTGTTTACCAAAAACATCACCTCTAGCATTACCAATATTAGAAGCACTGCCTGCCCAGTGACACATGTTTAACGACCACGGTACCCTGACGGTGCAAAGGTAGTATAATCACTTGTTCTCTAAATAGGGACTTGTATGAATGGCCACACGAGTGTTTAACTGTCTCTTACTTTTAATCAGTGAAATTGACCTATCCGTGAAGAGGTGGATATACCTAAATAAGATGAGAAGACCCTATGGATCTTCAATTAAATAATACAAACTTACACCTTAAAAACCTACAGGCACTAATCTAATGTTAATGTATTATAAATTTTGGTTGAGGTGGCCTTAGAGTACAGCATAACCCCCGAAAGACACATACCAAGACCTCATTAGTCTAAGTAAATCTATACCTATTGACCCAATTACTTGATGCACGGACTAAGTTACCCTAGGGATAACAGCGCAATCCTATTTTAGAGTCCATATTGACAATAGGGTTTACGACCTCGATGTTGGATCAAGACATCCTAATGGTGCAGCCATTAAGGGTTCGTTTGTTCAATGATTAAAGTCTTACATGATCTGAGTTCAGACCGGAGAAATCCAGGTCCGTTTCTATATGTTAAATATTCCTCCCAGTATGAAAGAACAAGAGAAATAGGGCCCACTTCACAAAGTGCCCTCATAAATCAGATGACTATTATCTCAATCTTATAAACTACTATTCTTACCCAAGAACAGGGCTCGTTAAGATGGCAGAGCCCAGTAATTGCATAAAACTTAAAACTTTATGATCAGAGGTTCAACTCCTCTTCTTAACAACATGTTTATAGTTAATTTACTCCTACTAGTTATCCCTGCCCTAATTGCTATAGCATTCTTAACACTCATAGAACAAAAAATCCTGGGCCATATGCAATTCCGCAAAGGCCCCAACATTGTGGGTCCCTATGGAACACTCCAACCAATTGCTGATCCAATAAAACTTTTTACAAAAGAACCGCTACTGCCCACCACATCCACCACAACCCTATACGTAACTGCCCCAACGCTACCCCTCTCTATCACCCTCCTCCTATGAACCCCCCCTCCCCATACCATTCCCCCTAATCAACTTCAACCTAGGCCTCCTATTTGTACTAGCAACATCAAGTCTAGCTGTTTATTCAATCTTATGATCTGGATGAGCATCCAACTCAAACTACACATTAATCGGTGCACTACGAGCTGTAGCTCAGACAATCTCATATGAAGTCACCCTAGCCATTATCCTACTATCAACCCTACTAATAAGTGGTTCATTTAACTTATATTCATTCATTATAACACAAGAACACTCTTGACTTCCTCTACCATCATGGCCCCTAGCTATAATATGATTTATTTCCACATTAGCAGAAACTAACCAAGCTCCCTTCGACCTAACAGAAGGTGAATCAGAACTAGTTTCAGGTTTTAATATTGAATATGCTGTAGGCTCATTCGCTCTATTCTTCATAGCAGAGTATATAAACATCATTATAATAAATTCCCTAACTACTATTATCTTCATAGAAGCACCGTACAATATAGCTACACCAGAACTTTATACAATTAATTTTATAACCAAAACTCTTCTATTAACTACCCTATTTCTATGAATCCGAACTGCATATCCCCAATTTCCCTATGATCAACTAATACACATCCTATGAAAAAAATTTTTTACCACTCACACTAGCACTATGTATATGATATATTTCAATGCCCATTCTAATATCTGGTATTCCACCCCAAACATAAGAAAGATGTCTGACAAAATAATTACTTTGATAGCGTAAATCGTAGAGGTTTAAATCCTCTTATTTCTAGAATTATAGGAATTGAACCCATACCTGAGAACTCAAAACTCTCCGTGATACCTATTACGCCATATTCTAAGTAGTAAGGTCAGCTAAATAAGCTATCGGGCCCATACCCCGAAATGTTGGTTCAACCCTTCCCGCACTAACATTAATCCTCTAGCCCACCTCATTATTTCCCTTACTATTCTAATAGGGACCATAATTACAATTTTAAGCTCACACTGATTCCTAATTCTGAATAGGCTTAGAATTAAATATATTAGCCATCGTACCAATACTAGCTAAAAACACAAACCCTCGCTCCACAGAAGCATCCACTAAATATTTCTTAATACAAGCAACCGCATCTGTAATCCTCTTAGTAGCCATTATCCTCAACAATCTAATTTCCGGACAATGAACAATTAACCTATCCCTTAATCAAATTCTATCTACAATAATATTAATTGCCCTAGCAATAAAATAGGAATAGCCCCCCTTCACCCCAAGGCATCCCCCTAGCTCCCACCATACTCATTCTCACGACAAAAACTAGCCTCTGTATCAATTATTCTTCAAATTTTCCCATCAGTCAATTAAATGTTATTTTCACAGTCTCAATTTTATCAATTATAATTGGCAGCTGAGGAGGACTTAACCAAACACAACTATGCAAAATCCTAGCTTACTCCTCAATCACCCACATGGGATGAATAACAGCAGTACTATTCTACCACCCAAATATCACCATTCTAAGCCTATTCATCTATATCTTCTTAACAATCTCTATATTCACAATTTTTTATCTAAATTCAAACATAACAACTCTATCACTATCACACACCTGAAATAAACTCACATGAACAATGCCTATAATTCCAATAATAATATATCTTTAGGAGGCCTACCCCCACTAACAGGCTTTTCCCCTAAATGAGCTATTATACAAGAACTTATAAAAAATGACAATCTCATTTTTCCTCTTACTATAGCTATATTAACACTAATAAACCTATATTTTTATATACACCTAACATACTCCATTTCAATAACGATATTTCCCACATCCAAGAATACAAAAATTAATTGACAACTGAAACATATAAAGCCAGCACCTCTTCTACTCACACTTATGATTTCTTCCACCTACCTGTAACACCATTAATACTAATAATCTAGAAATTTAGGTTAATAAGATCAAGAGCCCTTAGTAAGTAAATTTTACTTAATTTCTGCACCACTCTAAGGACTGCAAACTTTATTTTGCATCAACTGAACGCAAATCAATTACTTAAATTAAGCTAAGCCCTCCCTAGATTGATGGGACTTTAACCCACAAAAATTTAGTTAACAGCTAAATAACCTAATCAACTGGCTTGAATCTACTTCTCCCTCTGTAAGGGGGAAAAAAGGTGGGAGAAGCCCCTGCAGCGTTGAAGCTGCTTCTTTGAATTTGTAATTCAATATGATAAATCACCTCAGAGCTGGTAAAAAGAGGGCTATTCCTCTGTCTTTAGATTTACAGTCTAATGCTTCCTCAGCCATTTTACCTTTTCCTACCTATGTTCATAAATCGCTATTTTCAACCAACCATAAAGATATCAGAGCACTATATTTACTATTTGGCGCATGAGCCGGGGCAGTAGGGACAGCCCTAAGCCTCCTAATTCTAGCAGAATTAGGCCAACTAGGAAGCCTTATAGAAGATGACCATGTTTATAATGTTATTGTTACCTCTCATGCATTCATTATAATTTTCTTTACAGTAATACCGATTGTAATTGGGGGTTTTGGAAATTGACTTATTCCTCTAATAATTGGTGCTCCCGATATGGCGTTCCCTCCAATAAATAATATAAGCTTCTGACTTCTACCTCCATCACTTCTTCTTCTACTCACATCCTCAACTCTAGAAGCCGGCGCCGGAACTGGCTGAACAGTCTACCCGCCCTTAGTAGGGAATGTGTCACACCCAGGAGCCTCTGTAGACTTAACTATCTTTTCACTTCACCTAGCAGGTATTTCTTCTATTCTAGGGGCTATTAATTTTATTACAACAATTATTAACATAAAACCACCAGCCATAACACAGTATCAAACACCTCTTTTCGTCTGATCTGTCCTTATTATAGCAGTTCTTCTACTCCTTTCCCTCCCAGTCCTAGCTGCTGGAATTACTATACTATTAACCGATTGCAATCTTAATACCACTTTCTTTGACCCTGCTGGTGGCGGTGATCCCATTCTGTATCAACATCTATTTTGATTTTTTGGGCACCCTGAAATATATATTCTTATTCTACCAGGCTTCAGAATAATCTCACATATTGTAACATATTACTCTAACAAAAAAGAACCATTTGGATATATGGGTATAGTCTGAGCTATGATATCTATTGGTTTCCTGGGCTTTATCATACGAGCCCACCATATATTCACAGTAGGGATAGATGTGGACACACGCACATACTTCACATCAGCTACTATAATTATCGCTATCCCCACTGGGGTAAGTCTTTAGCTGACTAGCCACACTACATGGCGGTAACATTAAATGGTCTCCCGAAATACTTTCAGCTCTGGGTTTTATCTTTCTTTTCACCGTAGGCGGGTTAACAGGAATTGTACTAGCTAACTCATCATTAGGTATTGTCCTGCATGACACATACTATGTAGTAGCCCACTTCCATTACGTTTTATCTATGGGAGCAGTATTTGCCATTATAGGGGGATTTATTCACTGATTTCCATTATTCTCAGGTTATATGCTTGACCAGACCTATGCTAAAATTCATTTTACCATTATATTTGTAGGTGTAAATTTAACTTTCTTTCCACAGCACTTTCTCGGCCTATCCGGAATGCCCTGACGATATTCAGACTATCCCGATGCATATACTACATAAAATATCATCTCATCTGTAGGCTCATTCATTTCACTAACAGCAGTTATTCTAATAATTTTTATAATCTGAGAAGCCTTCTCCTCAAAACGTAAAGTTTCAACCATTGAGCAACTATCTACCAACCTAGAATGACTCTATGGCTGCCCTCCTCCTTATCACACATTTGAAGAGTCTACTTATGTAAAAGCTCTGAGCGGAAAAGGAAGAATCTGAACCCCCCAAAATTGGTTTCAAGCCAATCCCATAGACCCTATGACTTTTTCTGATAAGATATTAGTAAAATAATTACATAACTTTGTCAAAGTTAAATTATAGACCAAAAATCTATATATCTTAATGGCAACACCAGCTCAGTTAGGCTTACAAAATGCTACATCCCCTATAATAGAAGAACTTGGTGCCTTTCACGATCACGCCTTATAATTATTTTCCTAATTAGCTCACTAGTACTATATGTTATTTCCTAATACTTACTACAAAATTAACTCACACTAGCACCATAAATGCTCAAGAAATCGAAATAATCTGAGCCATCCTGCTCGCCATTATTCTTATTATAATTGCTCTTCCATCTCTACGTATTCTATATGTAACAGACTAATTTAATAAACCTTACTTAACCCTTTAAACAGTTGGTCACCAATGATACTGAAGCTACAAGTATTCAGACTACAAAGACCTAGCCTTTGACTCCTATATTGTACCAACTTATTTCCTTGAACCTGGTGAATTCTGACTTCTTGAAGTCGAACAACCTTACCAATAGAAGCAGATATTCATATGCTAATTTCAACACAAGACATCTCACACTCATGAGCCGTTCCATCACTGGGCGTTAAAACATATGCAATCCCAGGACGCTTAAATCAAGCTATACTGGCCTTCATATGACCAGGACTGTTTTGTGGACAATGCTAAGAAATTTGCAGATCAAACCACAGCTTTATACCTATTGTCCTAGAATTCATTTATTGACAAGATTTCGAAGTATGAGCCTCATACTTATATATCGTATCACTGTAAAGCTACCTAGCATTAACCTTTCAAGTTAAAGATTGAGAGAACCCCTCTCTCTACAGTGAATGCCTCAACTAGATATTTCACCATGACCAATGGTGATCCTGTCAATAGTTGTAACCCTCTTTTATATTATTCAACTAAAAATACTGAATTTTATTTTCCATATCATCCCATCATCAAAATTAACTAAAACACAAAAACATAGAACAACTTGAGAACTAAAATGAACCAAAATCTATTTACCTCTTTCAGTATTCCCATAATCTTAGGAGTCCCCCTAGTAATATTAATTATTTTATTTCCTACTACACTGATTATACCTCTAACAACCTAATCAACAACCAACTTTCCTCTCTTCAACAATGATTAATTCAACTTATACTAAAACAAATAATAGCAGTCCACATCATTAAAGGATGAACTTGATCTCTTATACTTCTAGCCCTAATTACTTTCATCGCTCTAAATAATCTTCTTGGGCTTACATCCTATGCATTTACACCAACCACTCAACTATCAATAAATTTAGGTATAGCAATTCCTCAATGAGCAGTAACTGTGCTCATAGGACTTCGATTTAAAACAAAAGCATCCCTTGCCCATTTCTTACCCCAAGGAATACCCATCCCACTTATTCCTATATTATCATTGAAACAATTAGCCTTTTTATTCAACCAGTAGCACTAACCATACGATTAATAGCCAACATCACAGCAGGTCACCTAATACACCTACTCGGAGATACTACATTAACCCTTCTGTCTATTTCTCTCTCCACTTCCACAATTACCATCATCATTATTATTCTACTGATCACCCTAGAATTAGGCATAGCCTTAATCCAAGCCTATGCTTTTACACTTCTAGTAAGCTTCTATCTACACGATAACTCATAATGACACACCAAACGCACGCTTATCACATAGTTAATCCAAGTCCCTGACCACTAACAGGAGCTCTATCAACCTTTCTATTAACCTCTGGCCTAATTATATGATTTCATTTCTACTATATTCTCCTCTTTACCGCAGGACTATTAGCTAGCGCAATAACAATATTTCAGTGATGATGTGATGTAGTCCTAGAAAGCACATATCAAGGCCACCACACCATACCTGTTCGAAAAGGTCTCTGATATGGAATAATCCTATTTATTATTTCAGAAATCTTCTTTTTTGCTGGTTTCTTCTGAGCATTTTATCATTTTAGTGTAGCCCCAACCCCACAAACAGGAGGACATTGACCCCCCACAGGTATTCTTCCCCTTAACCCAATGGAAGTGCCACTTTAAAATACAGCTGTCCTACTCACATCAGGAGTCACAATTACTTGAGCATATCACAGCCTAATAGAAGCTGATCAAGGAGAATCAGCTCAAGCACTATCCATAACTATCGCACTAGGAGTCTACTTTACCTAACTACAAATATCAGAATATTCTGAAACTTCCTTTACTACTTCTGACAGAATTTACGGCTTTACATTCTTTATAGCTACAGGTTTCCATGGAACCACTCTCCTTGGTACATGCTATATTCACCAACAATTATACCACTTCACATCCAACCACCACTTCGGCTTTGAAGCTGCCGCATGATACTGACATTTTGTAGATGTAGTATGACTATTGCTCTACACGTCTATCTACTGATGAGGATCTTATTCTCTTAGTATAAACAGTACCATTGACTTCCAATCAATAGGCCTGGATAGACTCAAGATAGAGTAATTAATCTAGCACTAACCCTAGGAACTAGTATTCTACTAGCTTTGCTACTAATTATCATTACATTTTAATAGTATACTTTTAATAGTATACTTTAAATATACTATTAAATACTTATGCAGAGAAATATAACCCCTATGAATGTGGATTTGATCCTATAGCCTCTGCCCGCCTGCCCTTTTCTATAAAATTTTTCTTAGTTGCTATTACATTTCTTCTATTTGACCTAGAAATTGCCCTACTAGAAATTACCTAGAAATGACCTAGAAATTACCTCTACCATGAGCAACTCAAACAAAAATGCTAACAATCAACATAATTCTCGTTCTACTTATTATTCTAGCATTAGGGTTAGCCTATGAATGAACTCAAAAAGGATTAGATTGCGTTAAGTTGGTATATATTTTAATCAAAACAAATGATTTTGACTTATTAGAGTATGATAAATCATATTTACCAAAGTGTCTTTCATCTACATCAATACCGCACTAGCATATTCCATATCTTTACTAGGATTACTAATCTACTGATCTCACCTAATATCATCTCTACTATGTTTGGAAGGCATAATATTATCACCATTCATTATAGTGACACTCATAACCTTAAATATACACTTAATATTAATATATATATATAAAATACCTATTACCCTTCTAGTATTTGCCTCATGCGAAGCTGCAGTAGGTCTAGCTTTATTAATCCTAATTTCTAACCTATATGGCCTAGATTATATGCAAAACTTAAATCTACTTCAATGTTAAAAACTATTTTACCAACAATTATGATACTTCCAATAATATGACTTTCAAAAAATCATATAATATGAATTAATATAATAGCCTGCAGCCTATTAATTAGTGCTTTTACCCTCATGCTACTATATCTACCAAATAATTCATGTAATTTATCACTAATTTTCTTCTCAGACCCATTAACATCACCTCTCCTAATCCTAACAGCCTGACTACTACCACTAATAATTTTAGCAACACAACAACACCTCTATAACAACCCCCTCCCGTGAAAAAAACTATACATCTCAATACTAATTTTTTTACAAATCTACCTAATCATAACATTTACAGCCACAGAACAATCCCATTTTATATCCTATTTGAAACTACCCTAATCCCTACCTTAGTTATCATTACCCGCTGAGGGTATCAACCAGAGCGCCTCAATGCTGGCTCATACTTCTTATTCTATACACTAGCAGGATCTCTTCCACTACTAATTATGCTCCTCTATCACTTAAATAGCTTAGGATCTTTAAATATACTGGCAATAATAATTAATACCAAAGAACTAATTTCCTGAACTAATAATGTTATATGACTGGGGTGCATCATAGCCTTTATAGTCAAAATACCCTTACATGGACTTCACCTATGACTCCCCAAAGCCCATGTTGAAGCCCCAATTGCTGGCTCAATAGTACTTACAGCAGTCCTGCTAAAGCTAGGTGGTTACGGCATGATACGACTTACCCCTATTCTTAACCCTTTAACAGAAAAAAATAAGCTATCCTTTCCTTATTTTATCCCTATGAGGCATAGTTATAACAAGTTCTATCTGCTTACGACAAGCTGACCTAAAATCACTCATCGCCTGCTCTTCTGTTAGTCACATAGCACTAGTTATCCTAGCTACCCTCATTCAAACCCCCTGAAGCTTTACTGGTGCAATAATCCTAATAATTGCTCATGGACTAACCTCATCTTTATTATTTTGCCTAGCAAATTCAAACTACGAACGAATTCACAGCTGAACTATAATATTCACCCGGGGCCTCCAATCACTGTTTCCACTTCTAGCCCTCTGGTGACTCCTAGCAAATCTTGCCAATCTCGCCCTACCTCCAACTATCAACCTAGCAGGAGAACTATTTACAATATTAGCTTCCTTCTCCTGATCCAACTTTGCGATTATATTCACGGGGTTTAATATACTAATCACAGCCCTATGCTCACTACATATATTTACTTCAACCCAGCAAGGGCCATTAACATATAGTACTAGCAATGTAAGACCCCTATTCACAAGAGAAAATACACTAACACTAATACATATGGCACCAATCCTTCTCCTCCCCCTAGATCCTAAGGTGATCATAGGATTAACGCCCTGTAACTATAGTTTAACCAAAACATTAGATTGTGAATCTAATAATAGAAGTCCACAGCTTCTTAACTACCGAGAAAGTACGCAAGAACTGCTAACTCATGCCCCCAAGCCTAGTAGCTTGGCTTTCTCAACTTTTAAAGGATAGTAGCTATCCATTGGTCTTAGGAACCAAAAACATTAGTGCAACTCCAAATAAAAGTAAAAATACACTCCTCCATCACTCTAATAATACTAATCCCCCTACTAGCACCCATTATAATTACTTTAATTAAAACCCACAAAAACTTTTTATATCCACATTATGTAAAACTAGCTATTACCTATGCCTTTACCATTAGCATCCTATCCATAATAATATTTATTTTTATGGGCCAAGAATCAACAATTTCAAACTGGCATTGAATAACAATTCAAACTATCAAATTATTGCTAAGCTTTAAGCTAGATTTCTTTTCCATAATATTTACCCCCGTAGCATTATTCATCACCTGGTCAATTGTGGAATTCTCAATATGATATATAAGCTCAGACCCAAACATTAATCAATTCCTCAAGTATTTACTTATTTTTCTTGTCACAATACTAATTTTAATCACCGCTAATAATCTGTTTCAACTTTTTATTGGATGGGAAGGAATAGGCATTATATCTTTTCTACTAATTAGCTGATGACACAGCCAAACAGATGCCAACACAGCAGCCCTGCAAGCAATCCTATATAATCTCATTGGAGATACTGGCTTTATTCTGGCAATGGCATGGTTCTTTTTATATACTAGCTCATGAGATTTTCAACAAATATTTATTCTTAATTCTACCCCAAACTCCTTTCCTCTAATAAGCCTCCTCCTAGCAGCAACAGGAAAATCAGCCCAATTTGGTCTCCACCCATGACTACCCTCCGCCATAGAAGGACCCACTCCAGTTTCAGCATTACTCCACTCCAGCACAATAGTTGTTGCAGGCATTTTCCTAATTATCTGCTTTCACCCCCTAATAGAAAATAATCTACTTATTCAAACACTCATCGCTAGGGGCCATTACCACCCTATTTACAGCAATCTGTGCTCTAACACAAAATGATATAAAAAAGATCGTAGCCTTTTCAACCTCAAGCCAACTAGGCCTCATAATAGTAACAGTTGGCATTAATCAACCACATCTAGCCTTCCTTCACATCTGCACCCACACCTTTTTCAAAGCTATGCTATTTCTATCTGCAGGATCTATCATCCACAGCCTAAATAATGAGCAAGATATTCGAAAAATAGGAGGCCTATTCAAAATTTTACCCTTCACCCCTTCCTCCCTCGTTATTGGCAGCCTTGCACTCATAGAACAACCTTCCTTACAGGCTTCTACTCAAAAGATCTAATCATCGAGACAGCCAACATGTTTTATACCAATGCCTGAGCCCTTACAACTACTCCCGTAGCCACCTCCCTTACAGCTATATACAGTATCCACATTATCTTCTTTACTCTAAGGGGACACCCTCGCTTTACAACTCTTATCTCAATTAATGAAAATAACCCCTTATTAATAAATCCCATCAATCGCCTTGCTGTGGGTAGTATTTTCCCTGGGTTTCTTATTTCTAATTGCATTCCTCCTGTCTCACACACCCAAGTCACTATACCACATTACCTAAAACTGACAGCTTTGGGCGTAACTATTTTAGGGCTCCTCCTAGCAATAGAACTTAGTCTTATAACTAACAATATAAAATTAAGCACCCCAGTAAAAACTTACTACTTCTCTAACATACTAGGCTTTTACTCAATCACTACTCATCGCTCTAACTCCCACTCAGGCTTAACCCCAAGTCAGAACTTTACTTGGTTCTGACTTGCGGTTAAGCTTGTATATAATATTATATACATATAATATTATATACGAGTATATAAAAAATATATATACTATATATATAATATGTATTTAATAATATTATACTTTTTCTTTTTTTTTTTTAGAGATGGGGTTTCAATATGTTGGTCAGGCTGGTCTTGAACTCCTGACCTCAGGTGATCCACCTGCCTCGGCCTCCCAAAATGCTGGGAATATAGGCTTGAGCCACCACTCCTGGCCTTTTTTTTTTTTTTTTCAAAGTGTAGTACACATTTATATTCATTTGTCATTTTCTTTAATAGCAGATTACAGAGAAAGAAACCTCTGGTTTCATGTTCTCCCTGGAAATATTAGCATTGATACCCATTTTATCCTCCAACTTATAGGGGAAGGGGAAGTGAAAGTGAGGAAGAGCCAGAACCTTCAGGTGAGGGCAACTTTGGGTCAGACTGCCAGGCTACAGGGTTAAGGGAAGCTGGCCCCAGAATAGTCCTGTGGCGATTCTGTTTTACTTCCTGCATTCCTGCGAACTTTGGCAGACGATCCAGGACACAATGCCTTACTGTTCGGCACACATACCCGCTGCTCTGGTAGGCTTGACAAGGGTTTGCTTTAAATGAAGGCTCTGCTTCAAACTTAGTGTTTGCTGATTTGGGGCCCTCCATCCATATAGTTGTACAGAGTTCAACATTATATCCATAAAAGGTTATTATAATAACCACTAAGGTATTATTCAGTTAATGGTTATGGGACATGATAAAATAACGAGCTAGTATTCACACCCAATTAAATCCATAGACCACCACTCCTACAACCATACGAATTCCTATCTAACCCTAGACACAATTCTTATTTTCTGAGGCAGATACCACGAAGAGAAATCCCACTATTGACGTTATTTAATTTACAAGTTCCACAAACTGAGAAAACACACACGCCCTACAATCACCCGCACACACCAATAAATAGTACTGCCTGTGTTTACTCCCACACACTTCAAATTATGCCCTTCAGAAAACATGCTTATACTAATATAGTAGTAAATTAAATTCCAAGCCTACATGGGCGTATCGCTATATATTTATTTAAATTCTAATCAAGTTAATGTAGCTTAATATTTAAAGCAAGACACTGAAAATGTCTAGACGGGTAGTATTACCCCATAAACATATAGGTTTGGTCCTAGCCTTTCTATTAGCTCTCAGTGAGATTACACATGCAAGCATCCACAGCCCTGTGAAAATGTCCTCTAGAATATCAGAACATGAGGAGCGAGTATCAAGCACGCACACATGCAGCTCAAAACACTTTGCTTAGCCACGCCCCCACAGGAAACAGCAGTGACAAACTTTTAGCAATGAACGAAAGTTTAACTAGGCTACACTGACCATTAGAGTTGGTCAATTTCGTGCCAGCCACCGCGGCCATGCGATTGACTCAAGTTAATAGGGCCCGGCGTAAAGAGCGTTTAAGATTTTATTCCCAATAAAGCTAAACTACAACTAAGTTGTAAAAAACCCCAGTTATGGTAAAATATTCTACGAAAGTGGCTTTAGTACCCTGAATACACTATAGCTAAGGTACAAACTGGGACTAGATACCCAACTATGCTTAACCCTAAACCTCAGTAACTTAATTAACAAAATTATTCGCCAGAACACTACAAGCAATAGCTTGAAACTCAAAGGACCTGGCTGCAAAAGATATTTCATTTTTTATGGCTGAGTAGTATTTCATGTATGCCTCATTTTCTTTATACATTCATTGGTTGATGTGCACTTAGGCTGATTCCATGTCATTGTCATTGTAATTGTCAATAGTGCTGAGATAAACATAAACATGCAGGTGTCTTTTTGGTAGTGACTTACTTTCCTTTGAGTAGATACCCAGTTATTAGATGGCTGGATTGAATTGGAGATCTACTGCTAGTTCTTTGAGAAATCTCCATACTGTTTTACATAGAAGAATCTCCACACTGTTTTTCATAGAGGTTGTACTAATTTACATTCCTACCCACATCCATGTCAGTACCTATTGTTTTTTGAGTTTTTAATAATGGCCGTTCTGTCTCAGATAAGGTGGTATGTCGTGGTTTTAATTTTAACCTCTCTGATTATTAGTGATGTTGAGCATTTTTAATTTTTTTTTTTTTTTGCCAATCGTGTATCTTTGAGAAACATCTATTCATGTCATTTTCCCACCTTTTCATAAGATTATTTGTTTTTTACTTGCTGATTTTAGTTCCTTGTAGATTCTGGAGACTAGTCCTATATTGGATGCATAATTTGCAAATATCTTCTCCCATTCTGTAGGTTATCTGTTTAATGATTATTTCTTTTGCTGTGCAGAAGCTTTTTAGTTTAATTGGATTCCATTTATTTATTTTTGTTTTTGTTGCATTTGATTTTGGGGTTTTAGTCATAATTCTTTGGCTAGACCAATGTCCTAAAGGGTTCTTCCTAAGTTTTCTTTTAGAATTTTATAGTTTCAGATCTTAGAGTTATTTCTTGAATTCATCCTGAATTAATTTATATATATGGTGAGAAATAGGGATCCAGTTTCATTCTTCTACATATGGTTTGGCAATTACTCCAGCACCATTTGTTGTAGAGGCAGTCATTTCCCCAATTTATTTATTTATTTATTTATTTTTTGCTTTGTCAAAGTTCAGTTGGTTGTTAAGTATTTGGCTTTACTTCTGAGTTCTTTATTCTGTTTTATTTGTCTATGTATCTTTTACACCAGTATAATGCTGTTTTCGTTACCATAGCCTTGCAATATAGTTGAAGTTGGGTAACGTGATGCCTCCAGATTTATTCTTTTTCTTAGGATTTCTTTGGCTATGTGGGCTCTTTCTTGGTTATGAATTTTAGAATAGCTTTAATTATGTGAAAAATGATATTGATATTTTGCTATGAATCTGTAGATTGCTTTGGGCAATGTCGTCATTTCACAATATTGATTCTTCCAATCCAAGGCATGGGACATGTATCCATTTGTTTGTGTCATCTGTGATTTCTTTCAGCAGTGTTTTTTTGGTTCTCCTTGTAGAGCTATTTCACCTCCTTCATTAAGTATATTCCAATTTTTTTGTTTGTTTTGTTTTGTAGCTATTGTAAAAGAGATCGAGTTTTTGGTTTGATTCCCAGCTTGGTCAGTGTTAGTGTATAGTAGTGCTACTGATTTGCGAATATTGATTTTATAACCTGAGACTTTACTGAATTTATTGATCAGATCTAGAAATCTTTTGGAAGAGTCTTCAGGGCTTTCTAGGGGTAAGATTATATCATTGACAAACAGAGACAGTGTGACTTCCTCTTTTCCAACTTGGATGCCTTTGATTCTTTCTCTTGCCTGATTGCCTTGACTAGGACTTCCAATACTAGAACAAAAGTGGTGAAAGTGACCACCCTTGTCTTGTTTCAGTTCTTAGGTGGAGTAACTTCAACTATCCCCTGTTCAGTATGATGTTGGCTATGGGTTTGTCATATGTGGCTTTTATTATTTTGAGGTATGCTTGTTTGATACATAGTTTGTTGAGGGTTTTTATCCTAAAGGGATGCTAGATTTTATTGATAGCTTTTCTCTGTGTCTATTGAGATAATAATATGGTTCTTGTTTTTAATTATGCTTATGTCATAAATCACATTTATAGACCTGCATGTGTTTGACCATTTCTGCATCACTTGAATGAAACTCCACTTGATCATGGTGAATTATTTTTTGATGTGCTGTTGGATTCTATTTTTTAGTATTTTGTTGAGTGTTTTCATTTGAAAACATATCATGAGGGATATAGCCTGTAGTTTTCTCTTTTTGTTATGTCCTCTCTTGGCTTTGGTGTCAGAGTGATACTGGCCTCATAGTATGTGCTAGGGACATACTATGTCCTTACTGTGTCTCTCCTCCTTAATCTTTTGGAATAGTTTCAATGGAATTAGTACCAAGTTTTCTTTCAATGTCTGGTAGAATTCAGCTGCAAATCCATCTGGCTCTGGACTTTTTTTTTTTTTTGGAGTTTTTAAATTACTGATTCAATATCACTGATTGTTGTTCATCTGTTCAGCATTTCTATTTTTTTTCTGACTTAAGCCAGGGTGGAATTGTATGTTTCCAGGAATGTATTCATTTCCTCTAGGTTTTCTAGTTTGTGTGTATTGAAGCGTTCATAGTAGTCTTGAATAGTCATTGTATTTTGGTGATGTTCTTTCTACATACATATGGTCATTTGTATTTCAGTTGTAATGTCTCCATTTTTATTTCGAATTAAGCTTATTTGAATCTTCTCTCTTCTTTTCTTGGTTAATCTAGCTAGAGGGCTATCAGTTTTGTTTATCTTTTCAAGAAACCAGGTTTTGTCTCATTGATCTTTTGTGTTATATTTCTGGTTTCAATTTCATTGAGTCCTGCTCTGATCTTTGTTATTTCTTTTCTTTTTCTAGCTTTGAGTTGGGTTGGTTCTTATTTCTTTAGTTTCTTGAGGTGTGATGTTAGGTTGTCCATTTCTGATCTTTCAAACTTTTTAATGTTGGCACTTAGTGTTATAAGCTTTTCTGTTAGCACTACTTTTGCTGTATCCTAGAGGTTTTGATAATTTTTGTCACTGTTATTTGTTTCAAAGGATTTATAAATTTCCATTTTGATATCACTAAATTAGTGAGAAGCAGGTGGTTTAAGCTTCATGTATTTGTATAGTTTGGAAGGTTCTTTGGGATTGATTTCTAGTTTTATTCCATTATGGTCTGAAAATATACTTGATAGAATTTTGATTTTTTTAATTTTATCGAGCCATGTTTTGTGGCTATCATATGGTATACCTTGGAGAATGTTCCACGTGCTAATAAGAAGAATGTATATTCTTCAGTTCTTGGGTAGAATGTTCTACAAATACCTGTCAGGTCTATTTGTTCTAGAGTGTAGTTTAGGTCAAGTGTTTTTTTGTTGACTTTCTGCTTGATCATCTTCCTAGCGCTGTCAGTAGAGTGTTGAAGTCCCCCGCTACTATTGTTATTGTTATTATTGATCTCTTTTCTTATATCTAATAGTAATTGCTTTACGAATCTGAGAGCTTTGGAGATAGGTGCATATATATTTAGGATCATTTCATCTTCTTGTTGAATTGAACCTTTTATATAATGATCTTTGTCTTTTTTTTTTTTACTGTTGTTGCTTAAAGTCTGTTTTATGTCATATAAGAACAGCTACTTCTGTTTGTTTTTTTGTTTCCATTTGCTTGAAATATCTTTTTCTACCCCTTTACCTTGAGTCTATAAGAATCTTTACAAGTTGTGTCTCCTGAAGACAGAAGATATTTGGCTTCTAATTTTTTATACACACTGCTAGTCTGTATCTTTTACATGGAACATTAGACCATTCATATTCAATGCTAATATTGAGATGTGAGCTAGTGTTTCAGCCATCATGTTGATTGTTACCTCATGACTTTGTTTTCTTCATTGCGTTATTATTTTATAAGCACTGCAAGTTTTATGCTTCAAGAGTTTCTATTCTGATGCATTTTGTCCTTTTGTTTCAATATTTAAAATTCCTTTTAGCAATTCTTGTAGCACTGGTTTAGTATTAACACATTCCCTCAACATTTGCTTGTCTGAGAAAGACTTCATGCTTAACGTCTTAATATAACTATATGCTTTGGTGAAGTTCTTTTTGCAATAAATCTTCTAGGAGTTCTTTGAGATTCTTGTGTCTGGATGTCTAAATCTCTAGCAAGGCCAGGAAAGTTTTCCTCAATTATTCCCTTAGGTTTTTCAAAGCGTTTGGTTTTTATACACCAAGGATTCCAATATTTTTTCACTTTACATAATCCCATATTTCTTTGAGACTTTGTTCATTTTTTAAGTCCTTTTTTCTTTATTTTTGTCTGATTGTGTTAATATGAAAGCCTTGTCTTTGAGCTCTGAAATTTGTTTTTACTTGGTCTAATCTATTTTATAACTTTCTATTGCATTTTCTCATTTTCTAAATGTGTTTTTTTCTGCCCAAATGTTCTCATTGGTTTTTATTTAAAATACCTATCTCTTTAGAAAAATTTTCTTTCATATGCTAATTTTTAAAAAAATTCATGTTGCTTTTCACCCTTATCTCCTTGTGTAACTCAATTATCAACCTTTGAAATTCTATATCTGATATTTCAAAGACTTCTTGATTTGGATCCACTGCTGGAGAGTTATTGTGATATTTTGAGGATATTCAGGATGTGACTTTCATGTTTTTAGTTTAATGTTGTCTAGCTTTGGTTCTGGGGTCTTTATTGGCAAAGACTCTGTATGAGTTTCTTTGTTATGGAGAGCCTTTGTGTGCTAGTTTTCTCAGATGTTGGTTGTTGTAGCAATGTACTTGGTATGTTAGCAGGATTACTGTCTTTTGTGGGGCTGCAATGGCAGAGCTCTCATGAAGTTTATCTTGCTTCCCTGTGGTGTTTACTTAATTTTTTTTTCAGTAATTTATTCACTGGTTAAATAGTTTAGGCTTCAGGCCAGTA